GAGGACCCCTCCTCCAGGGGGACGCTGCGGAGGCTCAAGGATTTGGCCTCAAGCTCACGTGGCACTTGGTCACAACATGTCACTTCCCATGCACTACCTGCTCGCTGGCCAGCTCCAAGCAGAGAGCCTTACTCTCGCTGGGTCCTTGGGACCTGGCTCAACATCAGAAGTCAACAAAGACTTGTGCAATCACCATCCGGGGCTGAGGTGTTTTCAAACGCGGAGCGCTGGCCGAGCTCTGCCAGTGAGACACCCTCTGGAAGCAGAGCCCTTGCCTGGCCGGGCTGCCCACTCCACCTTGGTGGCATCTCCCTGTTTCTGGGATGGCCAATCCTTAGACCTTTCTCCCTTCTTCCCATTCCTTCGCTGGGAGCTGAAGGTTGCGATTCCCTGTGTGACCAGTAGATGGTGCTAATGACACCCTAATGGGAGACCCTGTAGGACAGCTGTCCTCAACCTGTGGGTCTGGACTCTTTTGGGGGTCGAATGACCCTTTCACAGGGGTTGCCCGATTCATAACAATAGCAAAATTACAGTTATGAAGTAGCAACAAAAATAATTTTATGTTTGGGGTTAATTACAACATGAGGAACTGTATTAAAGGGTTGCAGCATTAGGAAGGTTGTGAACCACTGTAGGCAGTGTAGGCAGACCCTGCAGCGGCATCCATGGGCTGCAGACTGGGAAGAAAGGCCAAGGCTGAGAAAGGAGAGAGGCCCCAAGTCAAACTACTGAGGCCAGAAGGGAAGGATGTCACCCCAAGGAGCCTGGGTGAGCTTGAAGACACATGGCCCGCTTCACTCCCCCCACCCCACCCACCCACTGATGCAAGCTGACTGCGGCTCCGAGCAGCCGCAAAGGCCACAGTAGGGGTACTCCCTGGAGTGGACTCATTTTGTTCCCTGGAGCAGGTGGTGGGTTCGAAGCCCCCGCCTTTCAGTTAGCAGTGTGATGCTTAACTTGCCGTGCCACCAGGGCTCCTATGAAGGAGGCGGGAGACTAGAGGCCCGAGGGCAGCTGAGAGGACCATTGAGGGATGCAAGACCCGTGCCCCCCCACCCCCAGTCTCACATTTCTCTCCTCTCTTGCCCCCACTGCCTGTTTCCCAGCTACAAAATGAGGGGCAGTGATGTTGCTTCCAATGAAGTCCTTGCTTCTGAGGGCCTACTTAACAAATACTTGCTAAGCATCTCTGCTCCACAGGAGCCCCCGTGGTACTGTGGGTAAAGCACTTGGCTGCTAACCAAAAACCAGTGGTTTGAACCAAGGGTTGAACCACCCAGCCACTCGGCAGGAGAGAGATGGGGCCTCTGCTTCTGGAAAGAGTTACCCTATGCAGAAACCTATGGGGCCATTCGGCTCTGCCCTGGAGGGTCTCTGTGAGTCAGAATCCACTTGATGGCTGTGGCATTTGGGTCACTCTGTTCCATACAAGGGTGAACTAGAAAGGCCACAGGTCCCAGAATCTAGATCCCCAAAGGGGAGAAGGGTCAGGAGGCAAATGTGAGAAGCACGTGAGAGATGCTAAGAGATGTGAGATGTGCCTCTTGGGGGAGGAGGGGTCTAGGAGTAGGAGGGGCCAGGGAGGCCCAGATAGGACATGCAGGGCTGAAGTCTAACAAATACCAGTATACCCAGGTTATGCAGGAAAGGGCTGGCAGGAGGTGGGATTAACTCCCTTCCCAGAAGTTAAGGGGATCTGGAAGGCCTGGGTCCCCCAAACAGAAGGTTACACTGGCAGACTAAACAGAGTCAGTGGAACCTGATTAAGTAGTACCTGGCATTCCCTCCATCTACCCAGACAATGCCTGCCAGGGATCCCTGTGTAATACAAACAACAGGGCACTACTCTATGACTAGCCAATAGGTTGGCAGTTCAAACCATCCAAAGACCTTATACGGATGTGAAAATTGGACACTGAGTAAAGAAACCCAAAGAAGAATGGATGTGTTTCAATTGTGGTACTGGAGAAGACTATTGAGGTGCCACTGACTGCAAAGAGGACAAACCGATATTTTGGAAGAGGTACACCAGGGAGGCAAGGATGGTGAGATGGAGTCTTAAGACACTTTGGACATGTTGTCAGGAAGAGATGAGCCCCTGGAGAAGGACATCGTGTTTGGTAAAGTGGAGAGAGAGTGAAAAAGAGGAAAGTCCTCAAGGAGAGGGACTGACGCTGTGGCTCCAGCAACAGGCTCAAGTACTGGAACAATGGTGAGGACAGCGCCGGACTGGGCAGTGTTTCAGTCTGGTGTGTGTAAGGTCACTATGGGTCGGAACCAACTCGATAGTATCTAACACCAACAAAGGCACTTCAGAACACAGGCCTGGCAACCTACTTCCGCCTTAAAAACCCTTAGAGCACAGCTCTCCTCCACACCCCAGGGTTCCGCGTCGACTGCACTCACATCCAGGCACTGCGTTAAGCCCCGGAGAAAGCCTTGGAAACACTGGGGACAGCCCCTTGCCCTCATGGATGTGGGTGGAGTGAGGCAGAAAGGTAGGAAATAAATGAGCAGAGAAAAGCTACATCACTGTGAGTGTGCTACTGACACTGAAGCATGCAGGGGCACTAGCTGTAATGGAGGCCTGGGTCCCACACAGAAGGAGGAAGCTACCTAGGCCTGGAAGGCTGGATTTCTTTCCTAGGTTTCAACGAAAGCAACACATGGCTGGAGGGGGGGGGTGGGGGGAGCGCAGGTGAGATGTAGGTGCAGATAGGAGGATCCAGCTGCTTTCTCTTAAACCAGGCATTAAAGAGATCTGTACAAGTGTAAAGCTACAGGTCACCCCAGCCACGTCTGTCAGCTTGGCACTCTGTGGTGGCTTGTGTGTGGCTGTGATGCTGCAAGCTGTGTCACCGGTCTTTCAGTGCCATGGCTAGTCTTTCCCTAGACACATGTAAAGCCTATGTGTATGTTTTACACAGTGTATACTGCGCTTGTCTTTATACCAGTTTGACGGTCACTTGGGCTTGTTTGTTTGGGGTTTTCTTTTCCCTCCGTTCAGAGCTACTAGGCATGAAGCTACTCTGAACACACACAGCCAAGCCTGGTGTGGACATGTTACGACGGCTCCTGGTGCAGAGACTCAGGAGAGGAACTTGGACATCAGAGTTGTGAGTTCTTTATGTCTTTTGGTTCCAAGTCCTACGTCAAGACGGTGTTAAAAAATAAATAAAGTTGTACAAATGTGCTTGACACAATGGATGGATGGATGGATGGATGGATTGTGAATAGAGTTGTATGAGCCCCCCAAAAAATTATTATAAATAAAGTAAAAACTATCTGGGTTACTCATGACGGACAAG